CAAGTTTTCATGACTCAGATGCCCAGAATTTGTGCTAGTGTATTGTTTTCCCTACACTTATTTCAAATATTCCTTTTTCCCAGAAGCAGTAACTTGCAGTAGCTAAATAAGGGACACGTTTTGCATAATAGAAAGGCAAAACAGATTAACTCTGTGTTGTCTGCCAGAATATTTTCTCAAGTCCCATTTCAAGGAGTTTTTTAAAATCTTCTTAGCGTTAGGGCTTTGAAGGAATACTTTTCTGTTGCGTAAGCTGAAAATGCTTCTGGTAATTGCAGAGGAAGGTTTAAAAACCTCACCATTCAGGTCATGACCACTCTCAGATATCTCTTCAGATGAGTTATGAGTTGGAAACCTAGCTTGCAGTTTTCCATGACAGTTACATGTCACCAGCTGTTAGTGATTTGGAAGGATTTAGGATCCAGATAAAGCAAATAGCTCAGACTGCTTTAAAGAATTTCTCAATGACTGTTTGCAACTTGCCGTATTTCTTGCATAATCCTTAGATAGGAAATGAAGTGCTGGAGATTATATATTTTTCATAATTTTTAAGAAAGCTGTTGCATAAATATTTTCAAGTACTCAAGAAGTCTGTAAATAGATTTGTGTGTGTGAATTTTGCAGAAATATTAAATCTTATGGTTTAGATGCAAATTATTTCTTGGGAGTTTTCTTGCTCAGTTTGACCAAGCCTCATTTCACACCAAATCCTGTTCAGGTAAGTGGCTGGGATCATGTTGGTGTCCAGAACTGTCACATTCTGCTACATGTTCTAGTATGTGGCATTGCAGGATGACACCAAAAAAAAGCCTCTCCATCACACCTATTCTGAGTTGCAGTTTCTGAATTAGAAATAAAAGTAAGTGGAAGGGACAAACCACATCAAGATTCCAGAGGAATGAAAAGACATCTGCTTTCTATGCAGATGTTTCTATGTTTTTTTTTCTATATTTGACAAAAATAAAGCAAATAAATTTTATATAGATTGCTTTTCTGTTTAGTCATTCTGCCTGTCAGTTTTTGAATAGCCAAAGAGGATATAAAAATAAATTACTCCAGATCACTTACCACACACTATAGCGTTAATATAATCCATCTTGTTAGATTACCATCTGGTGAAGGTGGATAAGGATTACATTTGGTTATTCCCAAAGAAACATAGGAAGCCTCTATATATGCTACTTTCATTAAAAATGAGTAGAATAAAATCAGATTTGTTTCTAGTTAGCAAGGAAATGAACAAATAGATTGATGATATCAAGGTTTATTTGTTCATCTATGCAATGATAGGAAAACCAGAAGAACTTCCTAACCTTTTTATTTTGAGATGAAGCATGACAAATATGATAAACATTTTACTATAAAAGGGATAATATGTACAAAAATGTTTTTAGAATTTATTTAAATCTAAAAGGGGAAGAAAGCCTTTCTTTTAACAATGTACAGGCAGATCATATGATTTATTTAAAGAGGACAAAATTAATATGCCATAAAGAAGGCAGTAGAAACAAAGGTAAGCTAATGTAAAAAGTTAAAAAAGCCTAATTTAAAATCATGTTATGAAATTAAGCATCAAAGTTTGTAAAACCTCCAAATTGTATCCCGACATTTTCCAGTTTAATGACACTGTTCATTAGTCAAAAGAGACACACACTGGTACCGACAAGCAAATGAAGCCACAAGTGACTTCTAGGACTGCCATCTAGCGGTGCCACGGCGAGGAGAGCTCTGTTCACCGGGTTTACTCGAGTTCAAAAGAATCAGGCATAGAATGGTTTGGGTTGGAAGGGACCTTAAAGATCATCCACTTCTAACCCCCCTGCCACGGGCAGGGACACTGTCCAGTAGTCCAGGTTGCTCCAAGCACCATCCAGCCTGGCCTTGAACACTGCCAGGGATTAGGCAGCCACAACTGACTGAAAAATTCCTAATTCTGAGAAATATTTAAGCACTGTTCTTATTAATAAAATATTAACCATCACAGATTTCAATATGATAATTCTTACTGCAGAAGTATCTTCCAGTGCTCAAAAACCTCAACAGTTACTAGAACAATATAATTACACTGTGATAAAAGTATTTCTGACAGTTACACCTTCCATGGTAATGTACTGAAGTTTGCAGACAACATGAAGACATCCAGGTTTGTTGAATAGATAAGCTTTTTAGAGGCTTCTTTATTCAGCGCATACTGGCTCAGAGTGCCACTTCTGCAGTGCTCATTTGTTCACATGTCTCAAATGTTTAAAATGCTTAACGATTACCTAACTCAAATCATTTTATGGTTTAAAACATACTCTAACCTAGAACTTCTGGCAGTGAGGGATGCGAGACACATACTTGCAAGACAGTCTATAGTATTTGAGAAAATGGAGTTTGCATATATATTTTTAAAGTATTCCTTTTAGTGTTCAGAAATACCTTTAATAATTAAAATTGTTCTAATATTTTGTATCCAAATACATAATATCCAATAAGCAGACCAGACAATTACACCCACAAAGCAGTTTAAAATGCTTGAAACTTGTATAAATCAATGATTACTTCAGTAGTGACAGCAGGTTTGGCCCTCTACATGCAATGAGGAGACCATCAAATTTAAATAATTCACTAAATAAATTTCAAAGAGAAAATCATTTTAGAAAGGTGAGGTTTTAAAACTTAAGTTTTTATATAAGAAAGCTAAAAATTGCATAGAACAGTTAATCATACATCTTCTATTTACTACTAATCTTAAGATTTATCCTTTTCTTAATTTGATTGAAAAACAGCTTTGTTCCATCAGCACAAGACCACTATTCCTAGTGTTTCACAACATATTTTCTGCTCCCCTTACTACTGATTAGCATGATCTTTGTGCTGCTCACATCGTAAGATTCCATGTTGTTGAGAAGTAATAAGAGATCAGGAGGTACACTACCTGAAAACTAAACAGAGTGCATCTTAGTGCAGATTGCCTGCACCATTCAAAGCCATGTATTTGCCTCGATACATGAGAGATGTGCTTTGGCAATACAGAGCCTGCTACTAGGTTCACAGTGACAGGTATCTTTGCTGAGGCAGAGGAAATGGGGCAGCTCTTCAGAAGCCAGTCAGCAAAAGTGAAGCAGCACGGGTTGGAATTAGAAAAAAAGATAAGGTAGTGTTGCAGGGCTGTCAAAAAACTCATTTCCCCACTGGGAGGGATGAGTGAGTGGATTTCACAGCCAGTACCCACAACTTCTTAATGTATTAGCAAGGTCATTTTCTGTTCCTACAATAAATAGAAAGGTGTTGATTTACATCCAACAGCTGAATCAGAACCTGAAATACCCTCTAAAATTTTCAGATAGCAACAGTAAGCTGAAAACTTACTTAAAGCATTTTGTGATGAATGTTTTCAGAACTGTACAAACACGAGCAAATTTTTTTATATAGAAACCAGTTTCTTTGTTGTTACTTACCTGAAATCCAGTCACTGTAAGGAGTTTGCTTCTGCGATACATTGACATATTTTGTACTCTTGAAATTGTAGAAGCTCAATAAAATCTTTACCTTTATTATCACATTTCCTTTGCACTTATTGTGAATTTATTACCAATAAAGGTAACCATTATCATGTCAGACTTAGGAAATGTTCTGTAGCTAGCAATTATTCTTTAGCAATCAATTATGATCCCAGTTTAAGACTCCAGGTCAATTCCTACGGGAGACCTTGTACAAACAGACATGATCAGGAAATGACAGGCAGGAAAACAAAACATAAAACAAACAAAAAGGCGGTTCCCTCCCTGCCAGTACTATGCTCCCCTGTGCCAAGAACCATGATGGGTTTAATCCAGGTACTGAAATAATCCAAGAACAGGAATAATCCAGGGACAGTAGTGTCATAAAACTGGAGCAGGGAAATCAGAGAACAGGCGTTATCTCTACAAAGCTACCTCTCCACAAGCCCTTTCATAAGTAATTCTGTAAGGCCACAGAACTGTGATTTAAAATGGTGTTTACCAACAATATTAGAGTTACTGTGGCAACTGGAACAGGGGAGAGAATACAGCCACTCACCATCCACCAACCCATACCTAGCCCGACCCGAGCAGTGATATGGGCCTTCTGGGTAACTGCCCCCAGTTTATATACTGGGCGTGATGTGCTGTGGTATGGAATACCTCTTTGGCTAGTTTGGGTCAGGTGTCCTGTCTGTGCTTCCTCCCAGGTTCTGCTTCTCCCTGGCAGAGCATGACACTCAAAGTCCTTGGTTGGAGTAAACATTACTTAGCAACAAAATCGGTGTTATTGGCATTGTACCCAGGCCGAAAGTCAAAACCACAGCACTGCACCAGCTACTAAGAAGGAGAAAAATGACTGCTACTGCTGAACCCAGGACAGTATGCCAAAGTGATTCCATGACCTAGCCTGGGAAAGGGCACAGTCTCTTGAAGGTAAGCTAACTCACAAGCCTCATTAGACATTGCAGCAGTATTTCTAAAACAAGCTGAATGAGCATTAAGCTAATCTGTAGCTCAGTTTAAATTTCCACAGAAAACATAAAATAAACTTGGTACCAGTTTGCCTGCAAGACTTCTGGAGTCAGTTTTCTGTATACACTAGAAGAGCCCTAAGAATGAATTCAGCCTTTTTATTTAATCTGAGCACTTTAATCACTATGTTTAGTATACCCTATTAAAGTTTAGTTTTGATTTGTACTTTCAAACACTAATAAACTAACTCTCCCTCTGCATTTTTTCAAAAGCAAAACTCATTTCAGAGTGACACAGTACTATCACTCTCCATGATGTCGAGTCCACAGCCAAGCACATGCATCTCTTATGAACTGTCCACAGATGATGCTCATTACTGCAAAACTGCCATGAAGCAGAGATCTACTCATTTATGAGAAAGAAAGTGATCTCCTGAATTTCAGCATTTGTACTGAGAAAAGCTGGTTTGGGTGGTTGTTCTGGGTTAGGTTTTTTGTCAAAAGCAGCAGGTAGTAGCTTGTGCAGTAATAAAGACAGACATTTGATACTGCTGTTTATTTCTTTTTAAAAATTAGACAATTCTCAATGTATTAATCCAGCAACATGCTACTAAGCACTCTATACATTCCTTTCTTCAGAATAATTCTAACTAGATCTTGGCAGGGATAAACTGCGTAAGAATTGCCGACTATAATAGTACCGATCAGAAGTAAACCAGTTGAGAACTCCTCCCCTGAATCCAACATTACATTTCTGTGAAATTGGCCTACTCTATTTAATACTGTGTTGTCTTGAATACCTTTTGAAATATAAATTAGTTTTTCTATTAGAAACAATTGTGTGCATATTTTTTCATCTTATTCAGAATAATAAGATAAAAATTTCCATGGGCATTAAAGGGAGTTTCAACTAGGGCTTTGTAAGGCAGGCTTTAAAATAGTGCCTGAACCAGTTCTTCTACGGAGTTCTTGATTAAAATCTACATACTTTCAATAACTATTTTCAGCAGTGTAAATGATGTGTCCTCCAAAAAGTTTTAATGGAAACCAATTTAATTAAAACTAGTTTGACATCCTGAATATGCAAAGTCAAACCACAGGATAATAAATAGTTTTTGAGATTGGTCTGCATATCTACAGGCAAAACTTCCCTCAAATATCCCATGGAGCAGAAACAATTGTGGTAGCAGTTGAAAGATTTTCAGTTGTCAGATTCAAGGTCACTAGTTAAATTATTCAGACATTTTTTTACTTCTAGCAAAACCAATCTTACAGGCATGTATGGTTTTGTATGTTGTTTCATAAGTTATTTAAAGCACACTTTTATATTCTCTATTTTACAGCGTTGTGCTTTTTTATTTATTCATCTGTACCAGGTTTTAGCTGAAAATTATTGTTCAATTTGTACAAATCACCCATGATTTAAACTGTGTAATTACATTTCATGTAATCTCACAATTTCATTGGTTAATTAAATGATTCTCTACAGCTTTTTTTATCAAAAAAAGCAATATACAACTGCAGAATCCTTGTAGGATTTCCACCGCCCCCTCCCTCCCCCTTCCCTCCCCCAGCATTGACATTACATATTTAAATACATTGGACCAAATCCTTGGGCATGTCTGATGAGTTGTGCGGAAGTCAGACATGCATGCAAAACAGCTCTAAGCTCATCTTTCACAAAGGGATGGATCCTATTGCAGGGCTGTATCCTCACCTCAGGAGAAAACCCAGGTGCGAATGTCTAAATTACATCAGCTGTACCTATAGAGTGAACCTTCATGCAGAAAGAAAGTCCAATAGTATGCCCTTTCACTTAAATTCTCCAGCATTTACTGTGGTATTTTAGGAGTCCATACAAAAGGGTATACGGGACTCTCTGGGTAAATTACAGTGAATTGAGGGTCAGGTTAGGGCTGGTATTTTAATTTTCAGTAGCTATACTATTCTAGAGGAGCTAGCCCATATCATCATAGTGCAAATGTAACCTCTTGTACAGACACCTTTTGGTAAGAATAAAACAACATAACCTTAACAAACAGAGGTACAGTTGTTAATGAGGCATGGTACATTTTACTTTGTAATGCACCTAGACATTCTTTCATTGCTAGGCTGTCCACTTTTCAGGAAACATTTTAAAAAGAACATCTCCTTTGATTATATTAAAAGTAGATGATATGATTTTTTTGCCTTCAGTAAATTAAAGTACAGTATAAACTGATTTTTCCAAAGTTATTTCAGTTTAAAATGGACTGAAAAAAGTTACAATGTTTAACGATAATTTCAGAATAGTAACTAGTTCACAAACATTTTGTTTGTAATGAGAAAACTTTGTCGGTGACAAAAAAACCCAACTATGTCTTCCACCAATTTAACAAACAGTATTTTAGATGCCACCATCACCTGCAGTTCCGTTGATGATGCCTCACACCAACAGAAGACTCCTACTGATGATCAACATTCATCTTCTTTATACGATGAAGCAGAGCATCTTTTTCCATTTGGATCTCAGCAAGAGCCATTTTGGCTTTGGCTAGTTCCTGTTTGAGACATTCATTTTCTTCAATAAGCTGAAACAATCACATTAGAGAAGAGCTTTATTAGTATTCCTGCATACTAACATTTTCCATACAGAAACTTTTACAGTACCATATTCTCACATTCATTGCTGAGTGCAGGCTTGCTGGGGCTGAGTCAATTGCGACTGATTCCCAGTCAGTGATTGTAGGACACAGAGACGATGCAGTTACCTCAAAAGGCAAGATCCCAATGTTCTAGCTACACCACTTCCATTCTGTAGTAGAGTGGAAATGACACCAGGCTCTGAGCTCTAGGAATGGTTCCTTACCCAGTGGAAGTTAAAAAAAAAACAAAACAAAGCCAAACTACTGTGTGAGTTCTGTCATCATCAATTCAAAATCCAGGTGTGACTGAGACATTAGTACAAGTCTGATTTAACAATGTAGTCCTTTGTCTTTGGAAGTTGTGTTGTACTCTGATGTAAAGGAGAAAAATCGGTCTACAGTGTACTATTACCACATTTAGAAGGTAGTATTAAATTTGTTTTGCATGCCTAAGTACTGAACCATACTATAATATCCATAATTCATATTTCCCGTATCAGATAGATTTCTAAGCAGAAGTAACCCCCAAGCCCATCAATAGATGATCTAAATGTTATAATGATTAATGACTGTAATATACTCAGGGAGGGGGGGAACATGGGAGGGAGAGTGTCAAAAGCAGTTCTTAATACCTCATTTTTAAGGAAGTCAGCTGAATCCGTCTTTGATTTAGGAGATCTGGGAATTTCACAAGTAGTCTGCGTGGATTGGTCCTGTGCTTTATGTTCAGGAGGTCCAGCCACTTGCTGCAATGAACTACTTGAATTCTTCATCTTTGACACATCATTTACTCTTTGATTGTCTGTATCACAGAAAAGACACTTAAGAGCAGTGCTTAGAGTTTTTGTTGTCTTTTTATTGATTCCCAGCAGCACAAAATTAAAACCAACTAAACAAATATTCACTTCCCAAAATCGAATTTAAGAATAAAAAAAAAATAAACATACTATTTTGGAGGAAGAGAGAAAGAAAAGGAGGCGTGAGAAGAAGTAATATGTAGCTTCCAGCTTGAAGAAAATTATCACATTTTTATACCGACCAATACAATAATCACTGAATATGCATTCTGAATAACTACAAGTTTAAGAACTATTAATATTGCTATTAAGATACTGTCTCCAGGTCCAAATCAGAGCTGAAGACTGCATTCACATTTGGAGACACAGGGAGATAAACCTGCAGGATCAAGTTTTTAAATTAGAAAGTAACTTAAATGACTTTGCATTAAAGAAACTTTGTAGCCTTTATAACTGAAGTGTAACTGTAACATCTCTTAAAATACAAAGCTGCACAGGAAGGGAAAAGATGAGGGTCATGGTTCTTGGTAGCCAAAAAAAGTAGTCTGGGTTGGGTTTTTCTTTTTTAAATGTTTCCTTCTGAGCAAAAAGTTTCTGTTCATAATCCCCTTCTCCCACCAAACACACGTGAGGACTCAAAAATCTAGCACTGCAGATACATAAATCACAGCAGTGCAGACAGTATTTGACCTATGCCTTTGAAGTCACTGTACCTGAGCAGTCCATTACAAGAAAAGGGATCAAAGTACTTCAGCAAAAAGGGGAAAAAAAAAAAAAAAAAAGAGCTTAAAGAAACCTTAAAACTATGTATTTTCTTACTAAATTACTATTTCTTCAAATGTTTAGTTTAAAAAGATGACCAAAATGCACTGAACATCTTTAAACACGCAAACAATATATTAGATAATATAGAGTTGTTTAAATACAAGTAAATCATGCCATAGCCTACCTCTGAGAAGCCTGGCCCACCTTCACTATACCTTTGCATCAGATAGGTGAAGGGGCTATTAAGACTACCCTGCAGCCTCCTCTTCCTCAAGTCATACAATACATTCCATATTGTTGGATTAATATATTCAGGACCTGAATGAAAGCATGTGTGCACCCTCTGCAATTTTGTGAGCAATACCAAATGGAAGAGTAACTGACAAGAGAGGGGCAAGCCTGTTTTTCAGAGGACCCAACATGCTGGAGAAACAGGCAGTGTGAAGTGCTGCAGCTGGAAGTAAATAACCTCTTGCTCCACTTCCACTACCAATTGGAGACCAATTGGACAGAAAGCAAACACTGTAATGTCCTGTAAGCCTTAGTCAGTGAGAAGATTCATCATAGTCAGCAGTTAAGTTCTGAAAACAAAGACCAGGCACATACAGGCTGTACTAGGAAGGTTACAGATACCAAGATGAGGGAAGTTATTATTCCCCTATACTCAGCACCAGTGAGACCACACCTGGAATACTGGATCCTTTATGTGACTATGCTTAGAATTAAAGCACATTGCAACACAACTTCCACAAATTATCATCAGATATCTTTTCATTATTAGCCACATATTTGCACAAAGGAAAACAAACAAAAAAAAAACCCAGTTTTCAGCATAATTAGATTATGATATTGAGATATCAAGATGCTGGAACATACAAACCTCTAATGAGAAAAGAGCCATCATCATTTCTTTCTATCCAGAGTATGTCAATATGAAGTTTTATGGGTACCAGCTCAGATGCCTTGAAATTTTCACGTGGACTGTCATCCTAAAAAATATAAGTATTCAAAAATGAGTTTACTGGGATATAAAAAGAGCTAATCAAGATGTTCAATTAAACATCTTGATTTAAAAGTGGATTTAATGAAACTTGAAAGGGAACACTTCAGAGTAAATTTTCTAATGGGATTCACCACTAAAATTTTGCTCTTCCACCCCCCGGATCATATTAAAGGCACAAAGTTATCTCTGGAGTAATTCTGCTGAACTCTATATATACAGTCTGACTATACTTCAAAGTATTTTCGAAGACATCTCAATAAGATTATACCCCAACCCAAGACATTCTTAACCCAGGAGCTCTCAGAGTCAGAGATAAGAAGCCTGCACTATGCAGCATCTGATTTTCCCTTGAACTATTTAAAGACTGAATGGGTACAGCTAACATTCTTGAGCAGATTTTGTCTTTTTAGAATTTAGTTTGGGATGGTGCCAGCTGAAGTTCAGTTATATTACTGTACTCAACAGAAGAGAAACTTCATACATTATTTCTTTTGGGGTCTCCCCAGGGAGTCTTTATAGTTCATTATTCCTGTCAAGCAGAATAACACAGCCAGTGTAATTAGAAACTGTACATATCAGCATAAAACATGTAGCGAGAAAGCTGTTAAGATATAACTGCCAAAGTTTCTTGAAACTGTACTGAGATTGCAGTAGAAAAATGCAAAAAATAAAATAACCTTTCTTAAATTCCAGCCCCACCCAGCGCAACACACTGCATCAAGTCTCATGCAGAAGAAATACACTATTTCTTCGAATTTCAACAGAATATTGAATGGGCAATGCAGCATAGCCTATGACCATATCCTTTCACTCATTATTACCCTGCAACTCTATAGAAATGAATCATCTGTATGTCAAACTTGCAGTTTAGTCAACCACCATGTTGTCAACCACAGTGTCAACCAACACTGTGACTTGTGTGCACTGCTGAGTGAGCACTCTGGGGCTTTCACTGCCAAGCAGACTCCTACTGTTTGTTTATTAACATATATTCCCCACCTCAAACAGCTGCTTTCTCAATAATATTTTGATTACATCTACCTTCTTGCCCATAAATCAGGACAATCCATTTTTAAATTTAGATGTCTATATGTTAAGACTTTCCTTTTTGCAAACATTCATGTTTGTGAGACACTGAAATGTGAGGAACAGATCCACAGCTCTTACAATAAAATGCTTGTCCGACTCATGTAGTAGAAACAGCCCAAAAGGAGTGCCTAAGGATCATCAGGTGGTGGAAAAGCTGCATCACAGAAGGAGGGAATACTGATGCACTTTCAGTAAAACACTGAAGAAATAATAACTGCCCTTTAAGTCAAGAATGATCTCAGCAGAGTCAAGGCCTTACCCCCAGATGCAGAACTGGAGCTGCTATTCCAGTCTTCAATTTATTCAAAGTTTATATATATGGGTGATTATCAATTTACAAAGCAATGTTATAATTATCTTATCTTTACTTTTGCCTGGGGTTTTGTTGTGGTCCCTTCTCCCCCCAAAAATAAGTCCTTATCTTTATATTCAATGGCTGTCCAGCACAGAACTCACCATCTCCTTTAAATGAAAGAAAATCCCCTAAGAGACTTGAGCAGGAGTGTCCTCTTAATGTTACTATTTTATGATACAGTGGTGAGAAAACTTGCATTATTTAGTATCTGTCTTTCGGTAGGGCAGAAAATGAAATCTGGCATCTAAGAAACAGTATTCACATGGTTTGAACTGGAATTCCTGTAATCTTTTCCCTTCTTTTGTACAGAACTTTCATTGTAAGAAGGATCCTCTAAGTAGGAGAGAGAATTAACCTCTAAAATCTGTTTTTGTAATTAGAAAACCATTATTGTGCTAAGCTAAAAAGCCCAACCAGAAAAACCCACGTTGAGCCTCTAGGAACTTGGTATACTTTACCTGTAAAGCTCCCAGACAGTCACTCAACAAAAGAGACTGGGAGTGGAGAAAATAAGATAAGTATAAAATATTAATTCATATAAATAGCTTGGTCATGCATAGAATCCACCTCTAAGCATACCACAGATTTAACCAAATCTATGGATTTTTTAATTGTTTTAGTATTACCTAAAGACCTTCTAGAGGACAACAGCAGTTGCTTTGAAGTTAACTATATCCAGATTAGTCATTTATCATCAAAGAAGCAAGAACACAGTTCTTATAGAGCAGCCAAATGCCTCATTGTTAACATACCTTTAAATTAATCCTTGCATTAGAAACTTTTATCTTCATAGGCATCACTTCGGCGACAGTTTCATCCTCTAGAAAATGCTGAATGTTTGTAAGGGAAGATGTTAAAAATTCGGCACTGAAGTTCTCTACATGACACTGAAGAAAACCATTTTTTACAGCCAGCAGAGAATGTATCACAGCACTAGGCCCACTTTCCCATCTCAAACTAATCTCAGGTGATGAATTAAGTGGTCCAGCCACAGATTTACAGTCCGAACCTGTTGCAAAAGGAAAACAAATTTGCATTAAAATTTTGCAATGCACAAAAAAAGCAATCATGATACAAATACTTTGACCTCTACTGGCCAACTGATATTTTCCAAAAGTATTTTAGAAGTCGTATCTACAAATTACATCATTGCAATTACAGAACTTCAGAGCCACTTTCTTAGTCTATCATTTCAAAGCACTAAAGAGAAATAAACAGTACATACAGTACTAGAACCTCACTATGACAACAGGAAAGGACAATACAGAAATATCACTGTCTACAAAAAAAAAAAATTAGTGTTTTCTCAATATCTGGACAATGGAAAAACAATTATTTTAAACTTTTCCACTAGCTCCTTCAATTTTAACTCAGAAAAACATTTAAGTCAGTTCCTTCTCTCAGGAGAGCTGGTGTTCTCTGAGAAAGACAGAATTTCCTGACCCAGGAACTAACTTGCTAACACACAGGAATATAAGCAGCAATGCAGTAAGATGGATAACATGACTACATGGTGCTTCCATTATTTGGATGGCAGTAGAATTGAACCTTAAAAAAAACCCTAGCAGTTTCAGCATCTTTAACCAATAAGGACAACTGCAACATTGAACTGAATCATTCTAAACTAAATTAAAAGATTTAAGGTTAAACTGCTGGGGAGGGGGGCAATATTAATTTGTTGTATAAAAAAAGAGGGTTCACCACCAGAAATAACTACCCCATGGGATTCTTAAGTAATTTGGTGACTCTGATCTACAGAAATTGTTTGTATGACAAAAAGCATACCCACAGTAATACACAGTTGTTATATTAAGAAGCATCAATGCTGTCATTTCAAAGATAGCTGAAATCAAAGTAACTCAAGTAAAATTAACTGAATTATGTCCATTTATATTAGTAGAGTATCTAACTTAAAAAATTTGAGAGAATTAAAATAAACAAAAGTTTCTTGGTTTAAACTCTGCTTCCCTCAGGAAAGGCCAATGTTTACAAGATTAGAAATTGGAAAGATTAAAATTAAAAGGAAGACACTTTTTTTTCTATTCTTGTTTCTTTAATACTATTCTTCCTCCTCTCCCCATATTATTGGCATGCAGTTTATTGTAACCTCCTCTTCTTGATTTCTGCTTATGCATATATTAGCAATTACGAGAAAGCTGAAGAGAAGGCATACGGGAAATCTGCTAGCAGCTTTTCAATACATACGATGAGATTATAAAGGCAGAGCCAGGCTCTTCAAACTGGTGCTCTTCAGGAGGTTAAGAGACAACAGTTCAAACAAGAGAGGTTCAAACTGAATATAAGAAATGAGGAAAATGTAGCACTGGTGCAGGCTTCCTGAGAGGTTGTGCAATCTCTGTCCTTGGAGGTCCTTTCTTAGACCGATGGGATAAAGCCCTGAGTAATCTGGCCTGATGTCAGAGCTGACCCTACTTTGAGAACAGGATTTGACTAAAGACGTCTTGACATTGCCTTCTCTCCCCTCAACTATCCTGTGATCCCATGAAGTGCAGGTTTCCTCTGTGGTGGCTTCTTTGCTATGTACTATCTACTGATAAGTAATAATGCATGCTATAACAAATGCAGCATGCTATACCCCTCCATTTCAGAGATAACCTACTCTAAATAATCTGACATGTAACGTAAAAGAAAAACACAGTATGTTGGTGGGCTGCACATGACATTATTTCTTTCCAGTAAAGCTTAGCCTGGATACCTTTATATAAAGAAAAAACCATCCTGCTTCACAGAATTAAGAGTTCCTTCTGAAATGATACAACTGGTTTACAAGGCACTTGGTTAAAACTCCAAGGCATCATTGCTGAACATATTACATTTGCGAGACACAAGCTTTCTGATATATCAAGTCTCTATAGATATAGATACTCAGGTATCCTGTTACAGACATTTGCAGCATGTGAACTTATTTTTTAAAAGTATCATTAGCATATTGTTAATTGCTACTGCAATGCTATAACAACTGCTCAGAGCATTAATACTTGAGGATTCAGGTTCTTGATAATTTCTTTGCATGGTTCCTCACTTTACTAATTACAAATGTTACTTCAGCACTTGAGTAAGTTTTATTGAAAGGTCTTGGGGGGGGTGGGGGGGTAGAGATTGCTTTTATTGGGATATTTTCTTTTTGCTTTTGCTCACTGGTTGTTCTAGTTGCATTTTTTTACCATTAACTCATTTAAATAGTTTCTTTTGATCTAATTCCCAAACTTTTTCCCAACCTTGATCCTCTGGATTTAACTATTTTCTTCCTTAGTTCTTCTATTAGAATAAATATGGGAGATGGGGAAGAGCAGTGCCCACAGAAGATGGCTGACTAAGTACAGAAAACACAGTCCTACAGTGGACAGAAGAACAGTAGAGAGTAAAAAAGATGTACATTACAGAATGGAAGGGACCAGCAATGTACAAAAAGAGCACTGTTGGCCTACCCATCCAGATACCCACCAGAAAGAGAAAGGAAGAGAGATGAAGTGGAAGTATTTGGATAGTATATCCAAATTTAGAACTATATAGAAGTATTTAGAAGTATAATACTATCGTATTATAGTCTTTTGCCCATAAAATAATCAGCCAGTGCACAAGCGTCTCTATCAGCTGAACCAGAGAAAGCAGGTTCTACTTTTAGATACATGTAAGACCAGGAAGGTGGCATGTTGTTACTATTTACTCCCTCTTGGTTTTACAGCGGATGTGATGGATAACCAGAAATCAATTTGCCTGCATATGAACTGAAGGTCAGCCATGAGTCTCCCCTGCTGGACCTCCTTCTTGCCCTCAGATGCCTGAATGTAACTGCAACATCATGTAACAGCTGCTCAGGCAGCAGCTGCTGGCAACTGCTCAGCTTACCAGTAAATGGGTTTTTTAGTTAGGCATCAGAGGCTGTCCCACCACATACAGCTTCCTGAAGAAAATCCTGCTCCTGGAAGGCTGGAAATAAATGGCAGCCAACAGCTGCTATATAGCTGTTTCCTGAGAAAGGAGAGGAACCAGAAGCAGGAAGCCAGTGCATCAGGGATCTGCCCCAAAAACCCTACAGCATCCAGCAATTCATGTGGAAGGCTGGCAGAGGGAGCAAAGCAAACTGTGACGTGAAGTGGCATGCTAATACATCGTGCCAAGAAAGAAAACCTCACAGCATATGAACTAGGTTTTCTGGCAGAGAATGTATATGTACTCATGCTCAGGAAAAACTCTGACACACTGGTTGATCTAGTTGCACAAATATCTGCATGAACCTACACCCTCTGTTCCTATCAAGCTTTAAAAAAGAAAAGGAAAAAACCAAGGAACCAACAAAAAAAAACCACAATGCCCAAAAAAGCAAAAAACAGCTGTCCTCACAGCTCATCCTTCCTGACACAGAGTCAATTTTTAAGTTTTCTTAAATCACAAATTATAAATTTGTTTGAACTGTTGTTGTTAAATTAATCTAGAGAAATAGATCATGAAGAACCAGCCCTTCAAACCAAGGTACATTTAAGCAAAGCATCATTAGATCAGTAAGAGAGTTCTATCTTCATAAAACAGTAACAATGTAATGCAATTTATTTGATTTTAAAAAGAGCAAACTAATGACCAGAATTCAATGCAATGCAGTTTATCTGCAGTACCAGAAACTGGTTCCATTTTTATTTCCTTCCCTTTCCCTTATCAGGAAAGAATCAGAGTAGATATTCTAAACCAGCATAAAAAGTATGCTATTGTACTAAGATAAAACTTGGTTTTGTGCTTTAAGGCTACTCCTGAGTTTTTATTTACTCAGAACAAATGTTACTAGCTCCAGTTTCACAACACTGAGATCTCATTGTTAGTTCTTACCAACAGTTCTGTTGCAAAGATAATGCCGAACACTGATATTTCCCAGCTGATGTGGTATCACTTGGTTGACCTGTAGGCATATTTCTGTATCTTCACCTCTGATGTCAATTTCCCCATTAACACCAAATATTTGGAAAACCACAACAGACATCTACCAACAAAATTAAGATAAAACAGTGTAAGATTATAAATTGAATTTACGGTGGTTATTATTTTAAGTGCTTTCTAAACCTTTTCTCTACAAAAGGAAAAGAATATTTGTATCCATAACCCTTCCTCACAGAAAAGCAAAAAGTTTTCTCATTTCTTTTCCTTTTGTACCTATCAGCTTGACGATGGGTTGCTCAACAGTCTGTCCAAAAACAGACACTTGTATTTATAACCCACTAATACCGATTCAGAATTGGCCAGAAAAGCCACAAGTGAGGCATTTTTCTCAGTCCAACAAAGAAGTTTGTGACCTATGTGACACCTGAAGCTTTGTAAGGCTGCATTCAACTTCATGTATATTATAAGCACAACCAAGCATTTGTGGTGCTGAATCAGAGCAGGTTAAAGAACCAGGCTACTAAACTTTGGCTATCAGCATAATAGCTTTTTTTCCTCTATTGGACTGCGATATCTTTCAAAACAATACGTAGCAGCCAGTTTCAAAGGTCAGCTTTGGTATCAGAAGATCTATGTCCATCATCATTAATACTACTAAAATGACTTCAGTTATATTCTGCAAGTAGAAAAAAAACCACGCTAACATGCATTTGCATAACAGTCAATAAAATCTGATTTTTCCACGTTACCTATATGCACAGATGATCGAAAATGTATTTAAAAGGAACCAATCATTTAAGTGAGCTGATTTTTTATGTATTTTTCTTAATTAACATGATCCACAAATATTTTAAAGCAAAGAATTACACGACTAGCATTAAAAAAGGAAAATAAATCAGCAAGAACATGACAGATTTCAGTCAACTGAAACTCTTAGGTTGGACCCTGCATGGTATATCAGGGAGGGAATCTCCACATATTTCTGTAAATACTGGGCATTATCCTGACATAGTCCTGGACAAGAGGCATCTCTGATCTGACCCAGCAGGGCAGCTGTTTTGCTCCTATTTGCAAATACTACAGAATGCTACAAATACTACAGAATGCTACCAGTGCTAAGGAAACATCTCCATATCAGAGACATCAGAGTTTTGGTACTTTCTTTTATCTATACATGAAGATGTTAAAAAGCTCATTTTAAATACTGTATTCAATCAAGCATAAAAGAACACGACAGTATTACAAAATATTGCTAGGTACGAAAGCAGAAGTATTTTGTGGCATTTTTAAGTGGCTGCTGTCATTTACCAACAGTGGCTATACAGGAGATGACAAGGACAGAGAATACTCAGTGTAACTTGGATTGCAATCTTCATTTGTATTTAATACAAGTGCACTACACCTATAGGCTTACACAATGCACTAACAAAAGCTACCAAAATTACTTGAAAAATCACCTCTAAAAGCATTCATTGTAGCTCTATTTAGAGGTATAATTTGCTGAAGCATGTATTCTAATGGAATTCAACAATATTACCATTTCTTCACTAGGCTCATGGGCATTCTCTGAAGCAGCACTCATGGCATCTGGAGATGAGCCACCACAATTTTCAATCACTGTGCCTCCTTCAGGAGCATTTTCTGATGGGCTTTGGTAGTTTGTGGCTGTAATACCTTCCATATAGATAAGAAAAGAAAACACAGTTAGCATAGCCAAACCTGAATCACTCCTGCATCAAGAATAAAGTCAGTGTCTGTTATTGTCTGCATACATTAGCTCACTCTTTAAGATGAGTTGAATGGCTTATTAAACAAATATTTATGATTGAGCTGCCAAATCCATGCCTCTTACAGAGAGTTCAAAGTTCTAGACACTATAAAAGTAAGGCAGGATATAGTGACAAACCCAAAATGGCACTCCACATGCATTATTGAAAAAATTGTGAAAGGCCTTTTAAGTCTTCCAAATCAAATATAAACTTGATCCAGCCATGTCTATAAAACACTGCACAGTGCCTTTAAAGCAAAAGTTTGTGGATTTATGTTTAGAGAAATAAGCTATATATACTTTCATTAGAGTGATGATGGTAGTGTTTCCCTGACAACTAGAAAGCATGCAGACTTAATCTACAGTTAAATATTGTTTAACAAGCTTAAAAAAAAATAAAGGTTATTAAAAATGGAAAATGTATTTTATGGCATACTCCCACATAAGCACATGCAGGAATACTCCTACGATCCAAACATATAAGAGGTTTGCAAGTGAAGTAGTATTCTCATTATTGCTCTAGACTGAAAAGAAAAAAAGTCATTCTTTATTGGAAGTAAAATTTATCAGAGAAGAGGTACCAATAAAGTCTTATTGCATTTCCTGACATTAGAAAATTATTTAATCAGTTTTTCTAGAGAGCTACTAGATCATTACAATTGCTTAAGTCCACAACATTACAGACTATACAGACATAATTACCATAAGCCTGGATTCCTCCCTCAGACCAGGACCACACATTAATGCACAGATGAGTGAAAATTGGACAAATACCTGCTGTTAGACAGTCAATAGCTAGGAAGAGCTCCATAATGAACAAGCTGCAAGGAAACTACTAAATCTATCTGCTTGGTAATTAGCATGATGAGTATTAGTGAAAATCCATTTCTTTTTCATCTATTTTTAAAATTAAAGGTTCTTTACCACTTCAAGCATAACACCCATTCAGGGTACAAACCTGTAAAACCAGCCAAAGCAATGGCTTTTAAGCAAAGCAGAGAACCGTGCTGCTTAATTCAATTGCAACATAGGAATGCAATGCTTTTACTCTCCTCAAGAGAGAAAAATTAAATAGTGCTAAAATTAAGTAGCACTACTTAAGTAGCACACCTTACTGCTCTCCCATTAAATAACATGCTGTGAATATACTTGATACTACCGACTGGAGAACTTCACAGAAATAATGCTGTAAAGTGTCCAGGATTTGCTGCACTACAATCCTTTTGAGGGCTATTTTAGTAATAGGTTACATTTTCATGTATTGCTTAAAAATATTTTGTTAAACCTACTCACCTTTCTCCAGAAAGCTCTGGCTGTCACTTCCATCACTCTCTACCAAATGATCCTCCAGCATCATACTATCAATAGAGACGGTATCCAGAGAGACTTGTGATGGACTTCTCTTCATATTCTTGTAAGAAACAGAGAATGTAGGGAGGTTGGACGGGCAGCGTTCCTTAGGCTTTGCACTTTTTAAATATAAAGATATCAGGAAATTATTTCAAATTAAAGGAATTACATAGAAGTTGGTTGGTTTTGTTTGTTTTTTTTTTTTTAATTTCTGTAAACCAGGCAACATACAAAAGAAAAAAATCTGATTATTCAATAATCATAGAATAGTTAGGGTCGGAAAGGACCTTAAGATCATCAGGTTCCAACCCCCCTGCCATGGGCAGGGACACCTCACACTAAACCATGCCACCCAAGGCTCTGTCCAACCTGGCCTTGAACACCACCAGGGATGGAACATTCACAACCTCCCTGGGCAACCCATTCCAGTGCTCACCACCCTAACAGGAAAGAACTTCCTCCTTATATCCAATCTAAACTTCCCCTGTTTAAGTTTTAACCCATTACCCCTTGTCCTATCACTACAGTCCCTAACGAAGAGTCCATCCCCAGCATCCCTGTAGGCCCCCTTCAGATACTGGAAGGCTGCTATGAGGTCTCCACACAGCCTTCTCTTCTCCAGGCTAAACAGAGACAAACACAGAAATAACATGCATTCCTGCAAATATTTGTGTCAATATTTTTCTCAATACATATTTCATAACATTTAAACTAAAAGTAAAGAGTTCAGATAAGTTAACAGTTCATTTTAGCTTTCATTAAAAGCTGGATACTGCATATCTTCTATCTTTATATTTTAAAATATTTATCTACTAGATGTTCATTTCCATTGACCATTACTAGAACTACATGGCCAACAAAATTGATAAATATTTTCAAATAGTAAGCAAATTGATTTAGTATTAAGTCTTCTGTACCTTGATGAAGACTGGGATGCAAACACTCTAATTGAAGTCACTCTGTCTTTGTTGATTTCAAATTCTTCAGTTTCTACGGCAGTTTCTGTGTCCAAGTCAGTGACTTGGTTAGGGCAGCCTTCAGTTGTGCCTTCCTGTTCATTTAACTTATTTGAGAATATGTTTTTGTCGTCTTCCTTATCAATGATAAAATCAGTAGAATCTTCTCTCTTATTTAAGATGGATGTTGACTCTTTAGGATGCAAACTACTTTTCTCACTCAGAGGTCCACAGACCTCCTCTGAATCACTTCTACTAAAAAGTCCACTGCTTGCTCCTTCACTTGTGTCTCCCAAACCTTTATCTGATGCATCATCTGAAAATGATGTTCCTTTCTGAAAGTCCGTATTACTGTCTGATTTAAACAAAAGAGGATCTATTAAAATCCCTTTATTAACTTCAGCATTCAGAGGCTTACAGTCATTTACATAATCCAAATCAGTAATACCAGCTTGCACTATCTTACTGCCAACTAATTTTTTCTCTGAAGTAAGAGCTTCCCCATTTCCCAAAGGGGAGAGTTCTGATGCCACGGGACTTCCTTCTTCTACAACTGGAGACTTACAAGGGTTTCCCTGAGTCACTGGATGGAGTAGTAAGGCTACTTCTGCACTTTTAAGTAGGATCCCAATGCAGACATCCGTTTGCTTTGCAGGTTTTCCTGTCACTGCTTCTACATCATTCCTTAAGTTTTCCAGGAGCAATACAAGAGATTCATGGAGAAACAGCAAAAAAAGGTACTGGTAATGATTGATCTGCAAGCTTACATGTTTCTGAACATGGACTAGGACATGTACATCTGCATCTGTGGAAGAACTTTCAGAAAGCACTCCTGAAGTGTCTAACATTTGAATGCCATTGGTCAAGGGCTCTGTCTCAGTGCTGTAATATTCCCTAAGAAGTTTTTTACGTTGCAGTCTATTAGCAAGATCACTAGATTCACTTTTTGGAATGCTCACAGCTGTCTGATCATGGGATAAAAGCTCTTTTTGTGACTTTGCAAACCTTACTGGTTGGCAAATCCAAAGTGAAAGTGGAAATGAGTCCACAAAGCTTATTGGTCGGCCTTTCCCACTTTTTGTTCCTTCATAATCTATCCAGAACTGGGAAAAATGCAAGGCCCAAACATCAGTAGATGCAGATGTCTTTAATGCATATTTATTCAACTGTGGTATGATATAACCTTTATAGACATCATGCATTTTAGTATCTTGTTCATGAGCATGTCTCTGGAAAATTGGATGCAAAAGATTAAAATTCTTCTGGGACTTGGGAAAAGTGGTGAAAGTTCTACTGAAAAATTCACAGTCTTTGAAGTTCTGAAACAAAGCTTCTAGATCAGAGTGTCTGCAGTTTGGTGAATATCTTGTATTCGTAGCAATCATCTCTGAACTTTGAATAGAAAGTGCATGAGGTTGATCTTTATGAATTTCAGGTTTGTTTTCAGATGGGATGATGAACTGCAAGAGAAATATATTTTTTCTAGTCAGAAAATTGTAGATTGAGAAGGTATACAATTAAAGAAATAAAATAATAACCATGACAGCTAAAATAAAGGAATATAATTATAATTTTATGAGAACTCAAGTATACTAACACAGGCTCACAAATTATCATTTGTGTTTCCTCTTTTTTATGAGGGATCTGTGGCATCTAAGACTCAATGTTTGTACAAAAACATAAGGGTCTCAGGCTTTTCTTATATGAAGAATTTAGATTTAGGTCAGTAATATTAGGCTCATTTCTTCATTATTATTAGTGCTTCATTTCTTCAACACAGAAACAACTTGGCAGAAAGTTTCTGCAAGTGTTCTAAGCATTTAAAATTTTGAACTCCAAATTACAATTCTCTGCTTTTTTTCAATCTCACTTGTCAAATAGGATTTTTCACTACACTATTTTCTATGTTAAGATACCAGGAAACAACTAAATGTGCTAACACAGCTAATATTCCTAACAGTGCAGAACACAGAATAAGTATTTTGTGACCATTATCTGATAATCATATTTTTTTCATCATAAAATATACTCCAACTCCTAAAAAAACAAAATAGTTCAGTATGCTGAACTTAACTGGCCTATCTTTAGCACAAGTTTTAAAGGAAACATGTATTTTATGTCAAATTCTGTATCTGTTGTTAACATGGACCTTAGCCACATTAGTTTTGCTAGGATCAGGGGCACTACCTTCCGTCACAACATCTCCATGCTGAATCTAGAAAGATGAGAGTAAAAAAGTCATCCTAAAGACACTCAAAAGATGGGAGTGATAAAGCTTCTTCATGTAAATAAAAGGACGCAGAACAAAATAACCAAATATCTAATTATATAATAACTAGGAGAGCTGTAAACATCAAGCACACCAGTAACAAAATATTCATAAATTGCTAAAATATAAATAATGCAGTTAATACAGGGATGAAACAATTAATATGACTCAAAGCTTGAGGGACATGAGAATGCTTTTATCTTAATTTAGTGGGCTATTCATATATCATAATTCACTATTAGATCAGTCTGTGTTTGTAGTTGCCTGGTTGTTAGCTCTCAATAAGTGTTTCCATTCAGTACAAACTATGTCTTTTTAAAGTTCCATTAAATATGTACCAAGAGCATTGGACAGCCATCTCTCCATATGCTGACTTTAGAATGTTTGAAACATCTCATGCAGGCACCATCAAAGAGACTCATTGTTTTGTTTACCTCTGAACCTCAGAAAAAAATGCCCAATGCAAACTGGGGGGAGGAGGGAGGGAAGAAAGGCGAGGAATGCTCAACAATCCTTCTCCTCCAAAGAAGAAAAAGACAAGGGAAGCAAGAATCTGTTGTTCCAATGCACCAATGAGTTCCACTTCTCTGGAATAAACATATAGAGAACTTGTGTACCTGGACTACAGCCAAGGGTCAGCGTGAAACAGAAAATGGTGAGAATGGGGTTTGGAGACACAAATAAACTTTCAGAGGAACCACTTGCTTTACTCTAAGCATTCAGCACCAAGATAGAAGAGTTCTGATATAGTACAACCAGAGGAACAAGGGAGGGCCCTTGCATTAATTGAGTGCAAATATGTTAGTTATTTTTACTTAAGTGCTCATCTTTCTTTCTTCTGCTATGTCAGCTTCATTGAACACAGTGAAATGATCTGTGAATACTTCCATTCAGGTCTTCAAAACAAAACCAAAATACCCCTAGGACATATAAAGTAGTATGTAAGACACATACTTGTATTCAAGCCATCATATTCAGCATAGTTTTCCTGAGGATCATTATTTATGGCATAGATTGCTTGCTCATGTATTTGTCCACATTTTGTTAAGCTGCTTTGCTAACAGCTTTTCAAAATAAGAGTATTTTCTTCCAAGGAACCACAAAACCCCTCCTCAAAGACAACATACCTTTAACATTAATCCATCAATTCTAACATCAACATGCTCATCTGATTTTGAATTATCATTTAACTTGTACATGGCCATGAACTGAATAAGACTCTGTTTCAAATCCAACACAAACTGATTTAGCCAAAGAATACTTCTCTCATCCAGGGTGAACTGTAAAGCATTCAGCTGGCCATATAAATTTGGACATGGAACTGAAAGAGAAAAAAAAACAAAATCATGAAAATAAGTAAAATGTTTTGGGGGTGTATTTTTAATTTATTTTTTTTTTTACATGAGCACAGACGTACATTTTCACTCCTATTTTACATCAGAGAAAGAATGGAAACCCATTCCTTTGATCTCAAGGACAAATACATTGTTAGGGGATATCTAAGGTAATGATTATTTGTCACTCAAATCAACTGAATTTCTGAATGGAAAACCTAATATTAGAATAGAATGAAGTCTGAGGAGAGGGGGATAATGCCCTCATTACAGAAGGCAGGACCAAGGAGATTTGCTGTCCTCAAGTTCCATTCTCAAGAAATCCACTCACATTTCTGTATATATAACAGGGCCAACCACATAACACAATAAAAACAACTCAATCAGATCTGCATTACATAATAAATATTACTGCAATAGTTTCAGTTCTTTTATGTAGCTAGATAATGCGACTACAGAAACAATACATATATGTTGAAAAATGAATAACTTGTGTCATTAAAATGCTGTGTTTTCTGACATAAAAGCCATATTTATAAAAAACAGTATTACAGGAGATTACCAGGAACAAGGACTGTGCAAATGGAGCAGTGTTGCACTGTTTCCATTTTAGAAAGCCATTACCTATTTCCAATTGTCAACCTGGAACCAGTATTAAGCTTCATAAGGGTGAAAGTAACACACAAAATTTATGGTACAGTAAAAAAAACAAACAAAACAAAACCAAACCAATCCAAAAAAACACACCCCAAACCAAAAAACTGAACTTCTTACTAGGAAAGTCCTTTCCATCTGGGTAGTAATATTCAGTGAATTCAATATGAACAGCTGGCATTTCTGGTGGAAGATAAAGTGACTTTTTATTGCAAGAGATGAGAGCTTTAGGGGAAGAACGACACTGGTCTGCTGTTGAAACCTGTAAAAGACAAAAGATTAACTTCATTAGTACATTACATTTTTATTAATTGTTATACATTTGTAGTTCCAAGACATACGCCTAGAAGGGTAATAATCCACTGTTCTCAGATGTAGAACTCCAACTACACAAAGTGCTACGAGACAGACCTAGTCGCCTTGTATTAAAAGCAATCCACACAGAACAGTTTCGCAAGAAAACTATATAGCATGAACAGTATCGGATCACCTTCCTTCATGTCAGGCAGGAGGCAGCAGGTCACTTTCAAAGGTGTTCAGTAAAAGCCCAAAATGATCTCTTTATTGCAAACACTAAAGCTCCTGCATAAACAATTCTGCTCAGACATGCTGTATTTGCATACTTTTTTTCCTCAAGGATCCTCTATCTAGATGATAGAGGATAGCTAGCTATGTCAATAAAATTAGGAAGTGGTTGTTCTGTCACATAAGGAAAGACTCCAGTATGTGGGCCCACTCTAGACTGTATACTGCTAAGCAAAGTGTTTAGCATGCACCTGGCAGGGATTTATATGCTTGGCTATGCCTAAAGGTCTGCTTCACAGGAGAATCAAGACACTATAGAACAGTAAATCCTTCACTTCTGGTTCCTTGCAGCGTAAAATTATTAAACAAGGAAGAGATCACCTTTTGATATATATTTGACCTTAAATTTCTTGGAATGTACCCTAGTTTAAAAAGTTTGCTTTCAAAACAAAGCTGTTTCATCCAACACTTAGTAAGTCAGACTGCTACTCTGGAATTAGCCAACATATTAATACTGATTATATCATGATGTCTACTTGTATGAGTTTCATTGGAAATAAAGAATATATAACTTTTATAAGCCTGCTTCACTCCATGTAGTTGTTTTCAAGCTGCAAACAACTCTGTATCAACACACAATTCAAGTAGTAACAGATCTATTTAGAAAAATAGCTTTCTGTAAATTGTATAGAGATAATGAAAATTTTAAAAATCAAAAATATATTTATGTAGGGAGGTGGAGGAGACAAGTATCTGAGGAGGAGACAAGTATCTGAAGAGCAGAAAGCAACTGAAAGCACCAACAGTACAAAATTATATAAAACCACTTCAAACCCAGAAAAAGGCTCATAGCAGCAAGCTGCAACCTCCCACTCTACCAGAAGCAATATGGCCAAAAAGCATTGAAAAATGGAAAAAGAGCAAGTAGAAGTCACAATGACTAAGGGCTCACACTAACCATTTTTGTTAGAACCTGAAATTTAGAGTAGATCCTGCTGTATCACTACCATTCTGCCTTAGAGATATACTCCTCTATTCCAGTTGCCTCCTGTCTGCATGAAAGAGTGAATCTGGACCACAAATGTCAAAAAAAAGTACTTAAACAAATGGGGAATGGGGGCAGAATAATTAAAATGCCTACTCAAAATATCACTGATGGAGGGAAGGGCTGGGAAAAAAAAAAAAGTAAAAAACCCTCTCAATTTAAAAAAATCCCATGTCCTTTGAAAAAGGTAACAATAAGAAAAGTATGAAATACAAAACCACATATTAAAATATTGGGTACCCAACACAATACAATGAGAAAAGATGAAATTCTAAATGTCAGAATTCAGGAAGAACTTGGATCTGAAATATAACTGTAATGGGGTATCACCTAATATAAAGTCAATAAGAAAATATCCACCAATTTTAACAAAACAGAAGCAGGACCATAAAGATCTAATCCAATAATGAATGAAAAGATTTCTATTAATTTCAATGGGCTTCAGATTTGTCCCTTAAAAAAACATAGGTATTTAACAATCCAGGGCAAAATAGCCCCAGTTTTACTAACTTGAAGAAATGTACCTGATATATATTGAAATCTGCAAGTCTAACCACAACAGGACTAGACATCAGTTTGCCCTTTGGTTGTTGAGAAGATACAGAGGAAGCCCTAGGTGTTCCTTTTGGTATCTGTTCCTTGCCTGTGGGAAAGAATAGTGATGGAATCATTGAGAAGAACAGTCTTTTTTGGACTAGTTGTAACATTTCACAGAATTGGAGCAGGACTGATGCAAACAAAGTACCTGTTTGTAGGTTCTGCGGGGATACAGCAGGTGGTGATTTGGGAGGAGAATCTATAACCTGGTCCTTCACAGCCTGCTTAAGTAACTCAACATTGCTTTTGAATTCATTCAATAATTCTTTGGCCCATCCACTTCTGGTTTTAGTTGCATCACTATAATGCATCCAGTGATCACAGCTGTCTCCTGCAAATAAGAGCAATGTGGGGAATATTGACTCATTTGAAAGTCTGCTTTTAACTAGGTAACAAGTTTCCACTATTTCACAATTCTTCTTCAAAATACAATCTTATTATTACATGCTGTAATTATTGAATAGAATTTACAACAGGTGTTAAAACAGAAGCTATATTATAAAAAACACATCTCACTGCTTCACAAAAATCACTCAGAAAACCATTTAATATGGCCACCTGCCTTTTAACACCATTAGCATGTTGAAAACAGCACTGAATATTTCAATTCAGAGAAATCTGATGACACATTAATGTCATACGTGAGAACATGCAAAAAAAAAAAAGTTAAAAAAAAAAAAGTGAGAGCAAGTAACAGAACAACGTTCTCATGCTCACTTTTTCCAAGCTTATCTTTCCTGCCAGAACTGTGTCCTAAGAAGTTCCTGGTCCCTTTCCAGAAATGTATTCTTTTTGTGTTGGCTCTCTAGCACCTCTATGGCACACAAACAAGAAGGTAATTTCAATCAGTGCTGCACCACACACAGCCTTAAAAATCAAGCCCAGTAGAAATTCTTTTATTCCTAGCATGTTTCTGTTGGGCAGACACTTAAACCTCTGAAAGAAATTCAGATCTCTTCAAACAGTCCCTGTAAAGACAGTCTACTAATGTGTTTGATACTAAGCATGCACTACAAATAACTTCTATCAAGTGATACATCACTCTCTAAATACCACCATGTGAAAACTTAATTTATTTGGGACTTAATAAGATTTTGGATACTTACACTGGGGATTAGTAGATAATTAAAACAGGTAATTGCTTTGGGAAAAAAAAACGTGATTTCAAGCCTAAATGCAAAGATTTCAGCATGGAAGAAACTATAAGGGAGGGGCCCATCACAAGAGATGACATTTTTTCCCCACCTTCCTGCATCACAGCCTTTTGATGGTTGTTCACATCTTTCAGGGTGAAGATGATGAAAAAGGAACAGCGAAGAAAAAAAAATAAAAAAAAAAGGAGAGTGCAAAAGAGGGCAAAGATACATTAAAATCAAGTCCATAAAGCTGGGATTCTCCAAAACAGGGCTGAAGTGGGATCACCCCAAGCATATGCACATAACTCTGAAGTACCTGTAGGACTGCAGCATAATAGGGAAAGCTCTCGTACCCCTTCTAGAAAGTCAGTACAGGCAGGCACCTCTCTGAAGTGCTTGCACACTAACACATGCAGCATGAGGAACATGCCAGAGCAGGAGGAATGAGAGATCTGCATGCAGTTGCAGGGCTATGGTCTCACCAGGACCACAGAAATATAGTGAGATAGCACACACAACTAACATGCTGCAGAGGATGGACATAGGCTCTTTGGGAAGTACAGGACAAGAAGGCAAGGAGGCCGAGTTGACCCATCAGTGAGATGAGTGGGAACACATGGAGCTCTACCTTGGGATGGATCATCAGCCAGCTGAGCGCTCATAGGTAGGGATTAGATGGTAGACCAACATGGAAATGTTGTGGCAGATGTTTGCTACAGACCAGCTGATTAGGAAGATGAAAAGGCCTCCTTCAGAAAACTAGAAGTATCATGTTCATAGAGCCTGGTCCTCATTAGGAACTTTAGCCACCCCAGTATCTACTGGAAACCACTAGTCTTCAAGGGTGGGGACTAGCAGCATGAAGTTCAGCTGGAGACAAATCTCAGCTGCAGAGTCTCCACCCTTGGAGCTATTCAAAACCTAACTGGACACAAGCCTGGGAAGATAACTTTAACTGAAATCACTTTAATCAGAGGAGTTGGATTACACAATCTCCAGAGGTGCCTTCCATTCTCAGCTATTCTACATCTCTATATATGGAGATCTCATTGCCACATTTACCTATGAATAGTGAAGAGAAGGCCAGAATGTAATAAAACAGTATTTTAGTGGAGCTGGCACTCATGTTGCTACCATCTGAATTTATTGCTGGTTGCCCAGGAAAAAAATGCTTTCCAATTTCTCATATTATCTCAATATATCAACTTGATCAAGAATTTCTTATGCTGCAAAATGTCCTGCATGATGGCAAAGCAGCAGCTTTCTCTGATCATCATCCAGCAACACATCAGCTGCATAGATAATGGATCTGGATAAAAGCTTGGGTGAAAGCAGGTCTGGGAAGACTACTGGAGTGATGGACTGCTGCATAAACAGGTTTACAACATCCAATAAGTCTGGCTTATGTTAGGGTTATCACAGTCAATGGGCATACAACCCGCTTCATTTCTGTTAAGTATTATGAAAGGCTATTGTTGGAAGGCTTGATTTTCAATGGGTTAGAAATTTATCCTACAGTGAATATGCCTCAAACTCCCTTTAGAGTCTTGCTGAGCGGGTATTTTACAAAAAAACAAACAACTCCCAGCCCCCAAGAACTCAATCTGCAAAATAATTAATTATTGAGAACTTCTTCCTAGAGGATTAACTGCAATTTTCAAGACTAAATCCAAAAGCTGTTCCTAAATATTCCATAGGCCAGAAAGGTACAAAACCAGAAAACACAGAAGCTGTGACCTTGCTGTTAGAAAGTATTAATACGGTGTCCTTCAGTATGCAATATTGCAGGACTTCAAGGTAGAAATGCTCTGCATATCAGGTGATAGCCCGATACACCAGTATATAGAGGCACAATACCTACATGGCTAGAGAACCCCCTCTGAATTTTCAGGATTAACATTTTGATCTGAGCAAACAAACTGTCCCCTCTGTGACAAGAGTTTGCCCATAGAATTGCCACACTCTTCTAAAACCATGGGAAAATGAGGACCTCTAAGTGGAAGAAGAAACTTTCTGGCATGTTCCTTCCCCCTCCACACATACATCCTATTGGACCAACTACCACCACCTCTGGAAGCTTTTTATCATACTCTATTAGCGAGACATAGATTTCTGTTACTTAAACATACTTGTACAGAACACTGCTTAAGACTGGAAGGAGAACACTACCTTTAGAGGCACCACCTCTGTGATCTGCAGATGAGTTTTTCCATCTCTGGTTTCAGGTAGTGAGTTACGTTGCATGCAGTCACTACCTAAAAGCACTCAGTTTGCTTCTAGCCTGCCCATCCAAGAGCCTACAGTGCATGGTTCAATCTGGCTAAGAATGCTTTCAAATTAAACAATCAGTTTATTTCCCTGATCCTCTGAATTTTCTCTGAGGAGAGCTCACAGAAATCATAGATAGATTGGTCCCTCATTTAGACATTGTAGGAATCAGAAGTGACAGTAAATGAAAAACATAGCTGGTTTACAAGACAGGCATGTGTTAAACCTCTGTAAAATAGGGTCCTCCCCCTTTTATAGGGCAACAAAGCAATATCACAATTTTCGGAACATATTAGGCCCATAGAAAGAAAGAATACTGATGAAGTGTATTTTTTTCTGAGGCTCTGTATGTTTATTTGACCTATACTAAATTACATTTTTTAACGTACAAAAATTACACTTGATACCTATGAAGGAAATAGATTGACACTACAGGATTCCACCTGCAACCATGACAAAAAAAAGGCATGAGGCAGGCTATGGCTAATTCACATCTTTAATCTATGTGGATAACCATTCCAAAACGAGTGGTCTGTGTTAGTAAAAAGCAAAACAAAGCACAACCAGTTCTGCCCACCAGCTAAAAAGCCCTCCACTGTGCTGGACTGCTTTTGAATTCAAATGCAACAGCAAACTTATTTTGTCACTTCTACATTTTTTAGACTTCTGAAAACTATTTGTAAGAAATGTTTCTTTGGAAATTGCTAACATCTGTTTAATAACAGTTCCTTCACAAAAGCCTATACAATGGAACCTCTAAACACTGGGCTTCCTTTTTAGCAAAATAAAAACAAAAACATTGCTTGGAAATGGATATAAAATGGTAGACTTCCACATGAAAAGAAAAAAAACAAACTCAAAAAAACCCCTAAACCCTAACAGATTGACTCTTTCGAATACCCAATTTGTGAATTCTCAATCATCTGCCATACTGCCTTCCTCTGTCAACACAGAAATCTTTTAATGTCAGAAATGTCTGAACACCGCTTTGTTGACCTAACAGAACAGTGAAAAGTAAGTGTTTGGCCTAAAAGAGCTCATTCACAGAATTAAATTGGCTCCCAGGTTGTTGCTTTTGTTGTTTGTTTGTGCATACACAATGAAATAAAAACGAGTGTATTTGAAATGCTCAGAACATTATTATCCATGCCCTATATATGTACACACACGAATTTTTTAGTATTCAAGGAAGATATGTTCACAGGTAATTCACAAAATGCTCACTTTCATACCTGCTTTGTGAAATGGATAATAGTCCACTGTTAAATAGCTGAAGGAAAGCTGCATGGCTCCTCCTGTAACACGTCTATTTGAGTCTGTAAAATAAAACAATACTCAGCTCTATACACATTGTATTTAGGAGGTTAGTTCTGTTGCTCCACTTCTTTAAAAATCAAACAGCTGTTTCTTCCTCCCCTTCACTGACTCTCCTTAAAACCTTATTATCTTCCCTTAAAATTTACATACAGGTAAGTTGTCACTGGTTTCTGAAGATCAGCTAGTTAAACTCAAGTGTTCTGTACTCAGAAACTCCTAACAACTTGTGTATTGTTTTAAATGCTATTAAAAAGTAAAGACAACTCTCTGAACGCATATTACTCCAGTTTTTCTGAAACAAAACTTTTCACACTGAATGTATGGTTCTGATCAGTATTCAAAGTCAACATTTACAGCATTCTTGAAATTAAATATAATTTGAAAAATACTATTGCAGTGAAAAGGTCTTCTGAGAGTTCTCTGTTCTGATTTTTCCGCTGCTAAATTTAAACTTCATGGGCAAAAAATAAATGACTAATAAAGACATCTCACTAAAAATGATAAAGTAAAACTGCAGTAGATATACTGCATGTAAGTAAACACATCTCTAGCTAGTGAACTTATGCTCTGCTGTTCTCCGAGCGTTCTCCCTAATTAAGGAAATATCTAATAATAACCTACGGTTTTCATATTCTTCTTCAGCGGACCTTGTATACCTCTAAGTTTTTTAGTGACTAGACAGCTCCTTGGATATACATTGATACATCACTCTCTCTGATTGCTTTAAAGGCATTAAAGAAGTGTCATTTGTCTTCTTTTGTTCTGATTCTGAATATGGCTATGTGCAATAGCCTTTCATTTAAAAAAAAACCTGAAGTATCACACACAAAAATATAAGGACACAGAACACTTGTTTCATTCTTTCTATGTGCTGCAGAGCATACCAAATTCTCTAAATTAGTAACAGAAAGAGAACTGCTCCTTTATTAGTCTGTATTTTGTAAGAGTATTACAGAAGCAGATCATATAGGACCCTTTCAATTCACGGTAATGTTGCCACTGCATTCTTCATAACCCAGTTAACTTGCAACATAAAAGAAAAAACAGCAGGAACAATCAGACTGGACAGAATCGGTTTCTAGAAGATGGAATAAGCACTGATGCCACTAACACTCTTATCAGTTTTTATTGCATTTATTCTACAATAATCACATGTAATAATGAAATGTTATTCTCATAAAGGCATCTAGCTAATTTTAAATCTGTCTACATAGAGTGAAGACAATTCTGAATATTCCTCTAAAATAAAGACTCTTGATTAACATTAATGTATTCTGAAAAATGTATTCTAAAGACAAATATGGTTACCTAAAAAAAAAGTTACCTCTTTCTTTAGAATGGATATCATCACATATATGTAGGTCCAAATGGGAAATTACTAAGTGATGAGAAGTTTCCTTAACATCAAAATCATTAAACAATTTTACTATTGCATCATTTTGATCAGGTGCTGCCGTTGTCTGGGGCACTTTCACCTGCTGAGAGCTGGGTGCAGGGGCAGAACTCTGAAAAAAATATTTAGTTGTATCAATTTATAAAGTTTATCCTTCCTTTCAAGCATAAATATCCTCTTCCTTACTCAAAACAGGTCTCTAAAATAAGGAAAAATCTGCACCAAATGTATTCACATTGTGTGGTTACAGAGATTTAAGTGTGCTGTTTTAGAATACAGCTAAGATGAGCTAATGGCTCAGCATCACAGGGAGGAAATGCCCATTCTCCCCTACCCCCACACTTCTTTACACCCATCACTTGCAGCACTGGTATTTTTCTAACTTCTGAGCAAGCTGCTCAGGGAACTAAACTTGCAGAAAAACTTTTTTTTTTTTTTTTTTTGGGGGGGGGGGGAGGTGGGGGCTCATTTCTGCTATTTTAGTTCTCCAAACTATATCACAAAAGGGTCAAAGATGAGCCGCTGCCAGTTATCAGGTAATTGGTGAGATGCAAGCACAGGGAATTGAAGAATTGGAACCTCCCTGCTCAATGTAACAGCTAATGGTTAAATTCTTGTAGCTAAATTATCAAAACCAACCATAAATCATAAGGACCACTGTAAGAACTGAACTCTCCATTATAGTACACTAGCTTCATTGGAAGGGATTCAACAGAAATTACTTTACTCAGCCTTAGTAATAAGTTATGTTTTATTTTAATGGGACTACCTTTTATCAGTTTATTTGTTCTGCTTTTTCACTGACAAGAGGCCCCTCCTGTTACACTCACATAGCCCAGTTGGCCTAGTCTGCTTTGCTGAAAAACGATCAAGGTTTACATACGACTATCTTACCGGCAGCATCTATACCACATCCATGCCAGCACAAATATGTTAAAAGTAGAATTTTTCACCAGTTATACCAATAAGGGAGCCGCATGATGGAACGCTTCTACTAAAAGCTAATTTTTTGATACCATGAAAATAAACTGGACAAGCACTTTAAGTTGTTATAGTAAGCATATCTATCCCCACATTAAGGTTACCTTAGTGTGTCTTAATTATTACTTTCATTAATTCATAACCAGAAAATATTTGGGGAACAAATGTACTAAACAGTTAATCAACTGTTAACGTGTAAGTTTACATACTCTGTGCATGGATAAAGAAATCCAACTTTTTCCTGTAATTAATATGAATACACAAAATCTTGTCAAATAGAGTCTGTTATATTCATTCATACATGAAATAGCCTGTGATTCATTCCCAATGTAATTTATCCAGCTGAATGAAAATGAGTAACTGAACATTCTCCAAAATAAAGTAACATAACTAGCTACACTGCGTTGCATTTTAGAACACCTGTTAATTATATAGTGAGACAATTTTCATACCTGTGCTGCTTCAGAAGCCAAGCTTTTTCTCTGTTCTGTTGATTTCTCTATGGCTTCACTAAGAGATTTGGCATATTGCACCATGGCCTTCAACTGGGAATCAGTCAAAACCCACAGCAAATCATCCAGAATCAAAACCAGTTTTGATGCCACTACATTACAATCCTTTAACTGTATAATAAAAATTTAACCAAGTTAAATGGGCGCATTAAGTACTTAAACTTCTGAAATCAAATATAAGAAAAAAAAATTCATGCAAAACTACACTTCCTCCAAAATGAAATTTCTTCCACATAAATAGCAAACATTTTTTATTTTTAAATTGTGTTCTTCTCATTAACTAAAAAGTACCTAAGATACAGTATATTTATACCCCACTTTTTATTTGCTTGGAATGCATTAGATATTAAATTGATGCGTTTCTCTAAATGTAGGTAATGTTAACACTGTGAATCTAGAGAAGTAAAACAAGCCTTGCCATAAACAAAGCTCTGCAGAACAAATGATTTCATTAGCAGGACCTGAGCAAGGTCTGCATCTTCAAATTCTGCCTGCTGTATTTCTTGTAAACTCTACAGTCTTACTAATTACATTAGTAAAAACTGAGCTCTGGGAATTTTACATTTTATATGGCCTAAATTTAAAACCTCTCCTATGTCCATGTATGCAGTAAGAGCATAATTAAAAATTAATTCACAAAACAATGAAAGACTTTCACGTTTACCCTTCTTTTAAGTGTGACCCTAATTTTTGATTGGTTAGTAATCAGTCGAACTGGAGCACTCATGATTTCATGCTTAGAACTCTGGATTGCATCTGCCTCTATTCTGATCATCTGCCAGTTGATTTCTTTAAAAGTCAAAACCTTTAAAGAGAAAGAAAGAAAAAAAATACCACCTTCATGCAATACGGCAGCTTACTTCTGCCTAAGCATGTACATGTATATATCTGCATATATATACACACATACACACTCACATACATCCTTCATGCAGAGTCATATCAACAGAACAAATTCATGTCACTTGTTATGCTACTTAGAGGTGTCAGGATGTAAAGCCTGGATCCTTCTCTCTGCCTCCAGAATGTCACAGAAATGTTAAGCTAGTCCCAAGCAGACAGAGGTAATAAGCAGCATTTCAAATATTCAGTAGAAAATAATGGTTACAATTTTTGAATACTAGGTTGCTTTTGATAGACGAAAGAAAGAAGATTGCATGGTTTTGTTTCAAAATGTTAAATCAGAGTATGCAGGAAAAGAACAGGGAGGGAAGCAAAGCTACAGGATGGAAGAGGTTTTTGAAGTATTTTATTTCAATTGAAAGTTAAACATTGAGTACACTGTATGCCATATAGACCCCACAAGCTTTGAAACATTACATGGATTTCTAGAAGACAGAGCAAGCAGATATCCCATGTCTCATCATGGAGAACATCAAAAGAACAGGACATTAAAAGGGGGGAAAAAAACCCAACGAAATAATGTCATTTCTAGTTTCCCTAAAACTCCTTCCTTCTTTACTCTCTGAATTAAAAAAGATCAGCCATGAAGAAAGTGGAACAGGGAAGAGTTTGTTTGGTATGCATCTTATTTTTCAACTGCAATTCTCTTGTCAATTTGAAAACTGTACAGCCTATGTCCTGCAAATACAAGCACAAACTTAAGTAAAACACACTCAATGTCTTTGGGAAGGAGGCACACACAAAGTGAGCAAGATGGAAAGGCAAAGTGCAAAGTAGCCTGAAAAACACTATTTGCAGAAAAGCAGAGTACTTACCCTCCTCATCCAGGAGATACAGTATGAATGGAAGCTTCTAAAAAATTCTGAGGAGATTTCTTACTACATCAAGAGTGTAACTACAGTGCAAAGGCAAAAGCTTACTCCCTAAAAATATAGTTTAGCACAAGTTATGCTACAGCATTGGGTTTATTTTTTCCACCTCTTCATGCAATTTACTGCTAACAAATCATTCACTGCAGTTTCCAGAATAAAGTGCTCGAAAAGAAACCACTCCCCAAGGAAAGGTCTGCTGTGTATGGAGCAACTGTTAGGCATAAAACTCCTCCTAAGAAGCACAACATCAAAAGATATGGCAACACAAAATTCCATCTGATCAAACTTTAACTCTTCCTCTTTAAACTTCATTAACACATGAGCATTAGAATACAGATAAGCTGCAGGAAAGATAACCTGTTAGAAAAACAGTTTGACTTATTCTTTTTGTGGTATTTTTAACTAACATTCTCTTGGGGTTTCTTTTCCTACATAAAAAGCAACTAACAGACTCCTTATCTCTGAGTAAAGTCTATTCTGGAATAATCACCTAGAAATGGGCCAACATGGGCAAAATTTCAAACGCTTATCCCAAGACAGATGCATGCTAAAATAAGTCTCTCAATACAATATATTACAATATAATAATAACAATATAATATTTAGAATCAACCTTGCACTCTATACATTTTACTCTGGTTACATGGGAGAAAGCAAACAAATGGTGTACAATAATTTAAGACTTCCATGTTAAGTTCTCACAGACAGTAGAAAAGCATGCACTTGACTGCGATTACTTTTTTGTGTACATACGATTTAGTTATTCTAAGAAAAATAGTTAACTCTTGCATAGGAACTTTATTAACATTCATTTGAAACTGCTTAAAGAAAAAAAAAACCTTATTAGGCACACCCTGGCAAGCAAATAAATAACCAGTTAAAGCTTTAAAAATAGTAAGAACGAAAACAGCACAACACCTTACCTTTCCACACTTAATATACCATTCTCTTCTGTTCCAGTACTCCTCAAGTCTTTTCTAGTTTGCATTTTAAAATGGTTACAAGCTTGGAGAAAGTAAGAGGGGAACAGTACATATGCCTGCCCTGGTCTTCACTCTTCCCTAAGCATTCACTTTGGACACCATTTACAGACATAACATTTGATCTGACTCACATCCCCCATTTTTATATCCTTGTGTTCCTAGATTAAATTACTGAGCACAGAATGTCTCTATTCCCAGTAACAGCATATTTCCTAGACTGTGTAAGGTTGCAATTCAACTTCCTTCTCCTTTATTCCAAAAAACAAGGAAAAAAGATTACCAAAAGGCAGTATTTACCTCTCCACGTTGAGCTTCTTGTATTCTGGTAAATCTGAGGTCAGCATGTTCCCAGTTTGCATTTACACTATATATTCTCAGCTGGGATAGTTCAAATGAAGCATTAAAGGCTTTTGCACCAATCCGTATTATAATGGAGTTCACAGAAACCGAAATGCCTTCTACCACTTTTTCAGCAAAGCCATATTCACTAAAAAGTGAAATGCCAGCACATTAAATACACACCTAATGAAAGGGCACAAAGTTTAACTTATTGAACAGCTGAAATGTAACAGAACAGTTAAGTGTTGGAAAGGACCTTAAGATCATCTAGTTCCAACCCTCCTGCCATGGGCAGGGATGCCAACACGAAGCAAACTATAAAATAAGATCCTAATGCATTCCCCAGTTATGAATTTTTGTAAATACACTTGATCTAGTTTACAATAATTTTACACCCTATGATCCTATCCTCAAAATAGTTACTAAAAAACATATTTTGGACTAAGATCAATTTCCATGAAGTGTAACAATAAATGCAATTTTTCATTATGAATATTTCACACACATATATATAAACGTATCAATTAATAGTACAGCATTACATAAAAATCTTACTCTTATGTATGCATTAGGAGTAATTCATATCAAACTAATTATTTGACAAATCCAATCTGGTTAGTACTTATCTCTATAAACTGCGTTATTTCATCCATTTACACTAGCGTCTTTCATATATGCAAAATAGTATGAAGTATTTGTTTTGTTTCATTCTAGAAAAGAAAGGCATCCTAAATGGCAGTTAAATTTCTTCAACAAATCAACATGCATTCCAGTATTAAAAAATATAAGCCAGTTTCAATTAATATTTAATAAAAATCTTACGTGTTCAAAATGGTTTTGATTAGTGAATGGAAAATTGTATTTTAAATATTCTTTTAAAATCCAATTTTTTTTTTTTACTTCGGATATTTTTTTCTGCTTTTAAAAAAAATACAGTTTATGTGGTTTGTCATCCCTTTTCCTTTTTATAACTTCCGTCCTACACAGAATCTCTACGGCAATGATTTTCAAGCTGTACCCTAGGAGACAGTAAAGACCCACGGACACATTCTGCATATTATGTAGAAATTAAAACAAGAAAAGCAATTGTATCATTAAATTAGTTTCTCTATATATGGGTCCCTATGCCCACTGAAAAACGTTTTGGGTCTGTAAAAAGGAAATGATTAGTGTGGTTGTGACTGTGGAAATCCCTGATGTAATGCTATAAAATGTCCCACCAAATTAATTGAGTTTTAGGCTATAAAGCGTGCACAAATTCCTTCAGTTAGATTTGGCTGATACAATTTAAAAAATGGAACTTTAAAACATCACACTGACAAACAGCCCTTAATACTGTTTTTTTTTAGGCCAAAGGAGAAACAAAAAACAACCCATCGTGCTATATATTTTTTAACAAGAACGAAGGCAAAACGTTAAATTTTCAAAAACCTTAACATCAATTAAACTTGATGTTTGATGCAGTAGATGCACACATATGAAACATTTCTACAAAGTTCCATGCACAGTTCAGACATTCTTACCAGGCCTGTGTCTGGATAGTTCCAGTTGCACTACACATGTTACTCCACCCATAAGCAAAATTTTGGAGACACAGAAATGGCAAGCTGCAACTCTGCATACTTCTTGAAATTTGGAGTTGATCTAACTCTTTTATAGTCATTTAAACTTTTCTGGATCAATGTAAATATCATCACTGACCTCTGTCCAGATGCAGTTGCTATAGGAGAGGGTCCATTAGGGGCACGTGGCTCTTCACATGTGCTCATTTCCATTACAACTTTATCCAAGGACTTGAAAAACAAAACAAAACAAAGAACTGGAGACTTAAGATGTAACAAAGTAAACAGATGACATATGAAGAACAAAAAAACAACCAACCAAAAATAAAAATATTTTGAGAATTTTTTCTGAAATATACATAGAACATTTCTTACCATGCCAATTTTCCCATAAACTTTTATAATGCATCAGAATTTTTTTTTAAATTTGTTCATATGAATTTTTAAATTTAATGAATTCTAACAGACCTTTCCAGTCAAATACTGTATTACAGAATTCTTGATCCCAACTACTATTATCACACACATTTTCAAAAATTGTATTTCAAAATGAGCATGACTTAATGCATACACATCTGGGTGTTCTTCCTGCATGGTTTTTCTGTCAGTGAAATATTTAACGCCACTGGCGTGTTAAATGGTTCAGTAAGGTCAGGAAATTTTAATGAAAAATATTTGAAACTAGTCCACTAAAACGAGATAATAGACGCAAGATTTGTGCTGCATCTTTAAAACAAAATCTGAATACATAGAATATTTACACACATAGTATGTATACATTCGTGTGCGTATACAAACCTTCAGAAGTTCTAGTAAAACAAGTAGTTTCTAAAAAGATATATTCTAGTATAACTTGCGATATGTCAAATTATAGTAAAATTGTATGCTATTATTGTATTTTTTGTATTTCTAGTGGGACCCTTACAAACAATACTGGGAATTAAGGGAATGGGACACCTAAATCCTATTTTAACTAAAGGCTATATTTAAATAGCAGAAAAGTAACACAAATCATAAATAATGCGTACTAACAGGGGGACGAACAGAATGGGAACAAGCCAATGCAAAACCGTATTCCCAACCACTGAATAAATCCAAAATTCTCCTAACTTACATTACAATGGTTATGACCTCTATTTATTGTACAACGTGGGAAGGCTTTTCACTTAAGGCTTACAGTTCTGAAATCTTGTTCCACTGGAAGCTCATTCAAAACAACACCTACTTCCTATGTACCGTTCCTTCCGAGTTCCTTCATTTACCCTCTCTTAGCTCAAACAAAGCACACTAAAAAGCTTCATCCTCAATTTTAGATTTTTCATGATTCAACCTGCCCTACCTACTGGGCTTTATTATTGTATTATGTTAATTGTGGCTGTCTTCATGACCCACTTGCTCCACAAACATTTTTCTATGCTACTCTTACCCATGAAATGCCCTGACTACCATCTAGAAGTTTATAAATTCTCTACTCTGGATTTATTTATACTTCACTATATTTTGATTCTCAGCTGTCTAAATGAAAAACTCACACTGCAAAACAGCAACAGAAGAAAACAAGAAGAAAACCCCAATCAACTAGTTCAAAGGTCGTGGGGGAAAGACAAGATTTCTCCTGGTTATCCTAACATTTTTGGATGTTTGACCACTCTTTTAAGGTGTCTTAGACTGAAATAGCTTCCTTCACTGCACGACTAGCTGAAAGAACAGTAGGGCAGTGATTTAAGGAGTTTCCATAATTAAGTAAGAGTTAACAAAGAACAACTGGATGTAGATATCTCTCTATTCTTTTCTCATTGGCAAATACTGTACTTTGATAGAGGAAAACCTGATGCATAGCAACCTTGGGTCCCCAAAACACTCCTATAAACTATACTATCATATAAATGTATAATGTAAATATCTATTATATATAAAATCTAAAATTACACTCTTTATCATATAGAAACGTAAACTGATTATGAGCAAAGATAACTTACTATTTGCCACTACGTTAACAGACAGATTTTCACAAAGGGTAACTCAGCTCAATGGAAGAACCTTCGGCTAGACAAGTGGGTTCTAGTTACCCCCTAAGCTATGCAAAGAGGATGCTATTCCAATTTCATCAAACTTTCCGTAGGAAAAAGTACCCTCCAAAATAGAGGAAGTTCAGTGATGTAATAAGGGGCTGAAGTTGGGACAGTTAAGCCATTGATTTCCCCTCCTTTAGAAGTCAAAATGCCTGTTGTACAGTCTACCATTGAAAACTGAACTTTTGATATCTATGTAATGCACTGTTCAAGGAAAGCCTTCTGTAAAGCAGTGTAAAAAAGGTGACCTTGAAAGTTATCTTAGCCTCTAAGATCACTAATACAAGTTCAACAGGAGCAAAGCAAACAATCAGGCCTTGCTACCTTAAGCCAAAGTATGTAATCATTAAGAATAGCACAGCTTAAACTGATTTTCCCAATTTGGCAATTGCATCTTGCAGTCAAGAGGTGGAATCATCCCACCTCAGCATTACAACACTTTAAGCTCTGTGTGTCAAGGAAGAGACAGTACAAACACTGGGACATTACAACTAGATCACTAGCAAATCCATCAAGTATTTAAAACATGTCTTTCCCAAGTCTGATTTAGAACTAAGGAATTACAAACACATTCAGGAATTCACGGCAAGACTTGGAAGCATGACAGTTAAAGGACTTCATTCCTAACTAAACACAATTAAGAAAGTTTAGCCATCATCAAGCAAATAACTTCTGGTGCTAGCACATTTCTTAGTATACTTAAAGAACAAAATTAAACAAATGCAAGAATTACCATTACTTCTAACTATTACTGAGTCCTATTTACACATTTTAGATCCTGTTTATATCCAGGCTGAATCCAAGGCTGTTACAGAAACCCTGTAATGTTATGTGTATCAGACCTGCAGTAACCGAGATCATTAGCGTGAATACAGATGTAGAATAAAAAAGTCCTTAAAAAAAGATAGCTCTAAAAGGCAGAAACTTGTATAAGGGTTAGATTGACTATTATCTACCCTTCAGGTGAACCAAATTAAGACATAATGACTGAAGAACTTGACAGAAATTATCTAAATCAAACATTATAGTGATGACACCCAAAGCCACAGATTAAGAAAACAAACCTCCCAAAGAAAACATTAAGGCATTTTGTCTCCATCTGCCACTACCCAGAAGGCACTTTGTAATGGCCTGTTAATGTTTCAGTTATTTCTAGAGTCAAGTCAAAAGAACTATATAAACATTTGAGACAAATTCTGCTACACAGAGTATATTTAGGAGTTGATCTAAGAACTTACCAAAGAGATAGGATGTGTTTTCAATTTTGTCCACGGTATCTGCAAGGCAAAACATTATTCTAAAGCAAAATAAATATTAAAAACACAGTAAAATAAATATTTTGTTTAGCATCTGGTTTATGCATATACATTATATTTGCAACTCCTGAACTCAATTATATTACTTCCAAAATATTATATTTACCTTAAAATACTGTAAATTTATACACACACATAAATTTTAGGTGTTAAAAACAGAACTTCAAAATTTATTTATCACTGAGCAGAAAACAGAGGAAGAAAATAGAATCTGTGTCTTTAATACTGACTTATCATGCATGAGTAAAAGCAACACCATCTTCCACATTCTTTCCTTTAAAAGGAAAGAAAATCCACATTTGCACTGTTGGCCTACAATTGGATGCCAAAGACTAAAGAGAGATGCCAAAGTTTGACCAGATCCTAACTGCTGTCAAAAAGAAGTCATAGATTCACTTCTGACTCTTGTAAGAAGAGTAATCTAGGACAAATGACATACATTGCTTCAATACCTAGCAGCCATTAGGACCAAAACCACAACTTCTTCTAGAATTAGACTGTTTCCACATTTCCCAGAGACCAGAATCCTTTAGAAAGATATTTTTGGAAATATGAAAGGAACAGGAGGGAAAGCAATAGAAAGGGGGCAGCAAAGAGAAGAAATAACACATTAAAAAAAAGTATATATGATAAAAATAAATAACTATAATAGACTCATTACCATGAGAAAATACATACTTTTATCTCTACCCCTATTTTAGAACATGCAGGAATAAATTCTACTCAGACAATAAATAAATAAGTAAAACAATCACTCCGTATCTTCATTGTTTCCATACATATTCAATCATTACAAGACAAAAATTAGTAAGAAATTAGTGCTGGTAACTAATTTCTCAAAAATTTTATCAAGCACTCATCACAATTTTCTCTGAATACAAAGTTGCCTGAAATTTTACACAGAAAAGGAAAAAAAAGACCTGGTTAATTACCATTCCGGCACAATAAATTACTCACCCTAATGGATGCTTTATTGCAAAAGACCTTGTTTATAGCAAGCCATGTTGGAAGATCCAGCATGTTCTGAAGTACCTCTTGATCCAGCTCTAAATTGGTCAGCTGACCTTCCCCCTTCAGTGTGCTCAGGTTGATCTTGTCAGGTGACAGATTTTTGGTGAATCTAAAAACAAACATGCACCTTAAATAAATGCAGATAAAGCAATTAGAACTGTCCCACACAGAGCTGACAATTTAACTTAAAGCAATGGTCGGGGGGGGGGGGGGGGGAGGGGGAGGGGGTAAGGAAATCATCTTAGGTGCAATTTCACCCTGAAAAGAAATACTACTATTGAATTGCTTTGCCCCTCTAAAGTTTTGCATCTCATTAACCCCATTTGCAAATACATGAGATATGAGGCATCTTCTAATTTTTCTATCATGCAGAATAACAAATCCTTGATTCAAAGTATTTAACTACTTATTTTAAACTCTATAAGGTAGAGGTGAATCCATTTCACTCTTCTTTACTTTTTCAAAAGGAAAAAAAAACCAAACCAAAACAAAACCTCTACAAATTATACTGTCATCCTTAGAGCAAGCAGGAGTGGCTAGAATTCACTCACAAGGACCAAAAAAACCCTACTCCTTGTAAACAGTATATTTTTATATATATTTACAGTATTCATTAGATTTAACCACAGAATTTCATAATATAAGTTAGAAAAACACACATATATTTAAACACACATAACAGCATGGTGTATATAAAATATTGGTTGAAAAATTGAAGGTCAATCTGATATACAAGGGCTAAAAAATGCAACCATTTAAAAGAGTACATATGCAATATATTTCATTATACTTCAAAGGTGTTGTGATTGGCTTGTTGTTGTGATCTATGCAACTGTGTCAGACGGTTCACATCCTTGGGAGATAGCTAGCACAGGAAAAATCATGGGTACCCCAGCTGTAGCATTATATCTACCACAAGCTAAAGAAAAGGCTATACTTAACCACACTTGCATTCTGCCATGGAAAATTGTTTCTGCCCCTGAACTGGATCTAATTTTACAAGAATGGAGACAGCAACACCAATCTAGAGATAGTTCCAACATCCTTCAAACAGACAAAATATGAGCCATTCCCTCCCAACAAGGAGCGGGACAGGGAAAGCAATCTCAACAAGGTGCATAACTTCTCCCCTCCCCTCTTCTACATATTTTTATTAATTCTTCTGAGAGTGTTGCTTTGAATTTGTTACCTTTTCTGCAGTCAGCAAAAGGAAAAGTGCTCTGAGTGCTGCTTCATTCAGCATAGACCAACGTAAGAGGATTTCCACCTGTAGGACTAAACCCTTCATTTCGAAAGTCACAGAAAGAAACTCTTAACAGGTGAATTGTGAGAAGGTATTTCAGGTGTAGGCACCTCTAGCAGCAGATCTCTTCCTTCCACTTCCACAGGTGGAATGTGACTGATGAGTGGATGCTGTAAAGCCTGTGGTGTTTCCCCAAAACCCATAGTAACTTCATACTATACAAACACCACGTCTGCTTTGTCCAGAGCCAACTTTCCACTGAGGATGCCAACCCTTCCATTTCTGTTCCAGTTTCCCGCTCCTTCTCAGTTGTTCCATAGAATACACTTTTGTTTGTCTGTTGGATATTTTCAGCACTTTAGAACTATTTCATACATTTAATACAACAGGATAACCTTTAGTTTTATACAGCAGCCTCTAACCTCAGAAATAAAGGATTAGAAGTTGTCCTATATGGGCAGCTAGACCTACAAAACACAATGTGATCATACCCATTATTTAGAATTTACAAGAATTCAGATCTTCATGCATAAAATTAAAAGAAGGGCCAAGTGACAAAAAGGACAGTATTCTGAATTTAAAATATATAAATAAATAAATGCCTTAAGGCAACCACAGCTCTCCAAATAGTATTGTTCTAGGATCCCATGGTACATCAAACTAGGACATGACCCGCCAAGCCACAGTACTTTGACTTTCTTTCTGGTGTGCTTCACAGTTACTGAGAAACTCAGGGAAAAGATGTGCCACAGACACACATACTCATGTTAGTATAATCATCACTGATAAAATTGTTGCCCAGATAAAATCTGTTATTTAGTATTTTAGTATTCTTAACTTTCAATTTTATCATTAAATGTTAATATTATTCTGAATATTATGACGTTGGAGATGTTTTCTAATATTTATTGCCAGACAAAATCTGAGGAGTCAGCATGGCTTTGAAGTTTGGCAAGCTATCTCTGTATCTAAAGAAGCACTGTACCTCTTGGCCAGTACTGTAACCTAGAATGCATAACTGCTTGAACTATGACAACTATCATATTTATGATACAGTTTTATGTAAAGCAGATAAGTACTTCCATAAAGTTAGGGTAGATTCATGTAATTCTGAATATGTAGTAATTAGAAATATTTGATTGTATCATGATGCTTCATGATTAGAAACCTTTTGGGAAAACCGTTTTAAAATTCTCTATGAGCTTTTCTTACAACTACTCAGAACTGTCACCAGCTTCATAATATGCACACGTTCTTCTCTCCAACTTGGCACATGCAAACAGCTCTGCCCCAGCTTGCCAACTGATTTTCACCCTGGTATTCATTCCTCAGAGTGAGTTAATTACTCCTGAAAAACTGGGTCAAACTGTGAGCAGAGGCCTCAACAATTGGGCCGGTTCCCTGCACAACATCCCATGAAATCCTGACTGATATTTCTTTCCTGGGGAACAGATCAAATATTAATACCCACTGCTCAGTACATGAAGTAAGTAAAGCAGAAAAGAGAAAAATGAAAGGGAAGGGGAACAAGAATGGAAATAAAGGACATGGTCGAGTTCATCAAAGCTTTCTGTTTCACTGTTTTGCTGTGCCAGTAAGACATCACTGTTACTGAGGCAATACATACTCAGTTTGCTAATACCACAAGATAATTCTTAGCAAAACTGTTTTCATGGATTTAGTTTCAATTTCACAAGCTACCCTTCCTTTCCCAAAATACAGGATTTCAGGTTTGAATTACTATAGCCAACAGCATGAATTTCAATTCAGATTTAATATTCAATTTCATAAGGTAGTCTAATACTATAAAATATTTTACACTTTAAATGCCAGAATACAGAAAGTTGTGAATATCACAAGCAGCCTGATATATCTCCCTTGTGTGTATATATATACACATACACGCACATATATATAAAACCACATGCACTAAATATTACTATGCAGTTAGATTGATGGTTCAAATTTAATTTACAGAGCGCAGACTAAGAGTTTAGTGAAAAGCATAAAAGACTGCACAATAACAAGAAAGTAGTAAGCATATGTACAGTAATAAATTAAAATCATTGTATTTTCTCAGGACCACAACAGTTCTTTTAGTACCTTCCGTTCATTTCTCTATAAAACAACTAAAACACCTACACAGAAGATGCGTTCTTATTTTCCTTGCCCAGTTTTGTTTGTGACAATGCAGGCTTGAAGCTCTGAATGGAACACTCCACCATGCTTGCAGAGAAGATGGCCAAGAAGTGAAACTAGAAATAAAAAACAGTGGAGAAGATGGGAGAAACATTTCTGTGAAAGCACAAGCTTATGGTTTGTCTAATGAAGGCCAAAGACCACATGAAGCTTGGAGCAGCACGCCACGAAGGTTTAGAAAGAATACCAGATGCTTTGTAAATTCAACAGGAACTCCAACCTCTGGATGTAATAGAGAAATTATGAAAGTCTGGATACCATTTGGACATGGGATTCTGAGATGTTTTGCACATCTAATGAACATAGAACCTTTTCCACCAGGCTCTACTATCTGCCTCCCCTGTTTTTTAAATAAAATTCCTGCAGGGACTTGATCCTACATGTACGCTCTAATCGTGACAGACTATTAAATCAGAATATATGCCACATGTTTTGCTTATCATCTTGTTATGACATAGAACTCCTTAAAAAGTTGTGCAGTTCAAAACAACCAGCTCTGAAAAAGAGAAGCATGCCCTACCAAGGACTCGCAACTATATCAATAATAAAAGAGCAGAAATGGAACAGATAACTGTTGTGTTTTTTTTCCTGTTAGAGTTGGATCAACCATATTAGTAGATTACTAAGGAACTCCATATGACTTCAACTGAGCTTCCAAGGAAGATACTGGCCTCCCATGACTAGGTAACAGAGTGAGGTCTATCGTTCTGCTCACTGTACCATTTCAAATTTTAAGACTTCTTGCTTAAATACAAGAGGAACAGAAGTAACTCTTGTCAAATCTGCCACAGAAACAAAGCATTGGGATCACCAGTGTATGTACTGTTACGGATTATCTCCTTTCATCCCATGTGACACCACAAATCAAAGCTGATTTTCAGTAACTTGCCTGAACTTAAAAACAAGCAAACAAACAAATTAAATCCTTCCCACCTTTAAATAAGGAGGGGAAAATAAAAAAAAAAAAAAAGTCACAGCAAATAGTGTGCTGTAGGCAACATAACAATTTCCTCTCTTGTATTTTCTTTCCTGTAGCCAGAAGAAATACTAGTGTCTCAGAAACAAAACATCACCTGCAAATACTGAGTTCAGGAGCACTGCTATACTTTTCCCCATGGCAGCATATCACAACTCCAAAATAGCAAGATGCTTTGATCTACTTAGATGGCTGCAAGTCCTAGATGAGAAAAGGACAGACTCCCTAGATTAAAAAACAAGTCTAAGCACAATGAAATTCAGAAAACTTCTTAGCAGCATTCTCTTCTTGATCCAGGTATGACAAAAAAAAGAAAACAAAAGGTGAGACAGACTATAGTCATACAGGATTAAAGATTCAGCTGCTGTTAGGTGAATGGCAGACAGATGAAAGACAAGACTTCATAGATGCAACAAATGATTGACCTGTATTCAAACAGTAAGGCACTAATGAAAATTCTGCATGAATGTAATAGACCAGGTGGGAGGGGAGGGGGAAAATACAAACCCCAAGCTTCTGTAAAATATGTCTATTTTAATCTTTCAGACCTGTGAAACAAGATTAGACTCAAGCAACTCACATCTTTTCTTAGTAATTTAACTGCTTCAACCAAAAGGCATCCCAAAAGCTTCTACAAAAAAAAAAAAAAATACTTACACAGTAACGACTTAAGGTTAGATGAAGAAATTGG